CTAGCTCTATAGTGCTAACTAACTGTTCGCATCAGCATTGTTAAATTTAATGGTTAGCTGCAGCAGTGCTAACTAGCTCTATAGTGCTAACTAACTGTTCGCATCAGCATTGTTAAATTTAATGGTTAGCTGCAGCAGTGCTAACTAGCTCTATAGTGCTAACTAACTATTAGCATCAGCATTGTTACATTTAACTGTTAGCTGCAGCAGCGCTAACTAGCTGCTATAGTGCAAACTTTAGCTTTTAGCTTCTGTTCTGCTTGTTTTAACAGTTTAGTTTATTCATTCATCAGTAACTTTCAGCCCTCAGTACTTCTTCTTCATTTTCGCAGAAAAATACTTTTTTGTTGCATTTTCTGCAGAATTTTTCTGACTTATTACAGCGTCAGACTCCTAAAAAAATTAATAAAAAAAGTTGTGTTTTTTAACCAGAATGAGTGCAAACTTCCTGAAAACATGAGCAGACATAAAAATGATCCCAGAAGAGTAAAACTTTCTAAGTTTTCGTGTCGACTCACAGCTTTCTCCAAGAAGAGCTGGTCTTTTGTGAGGTGGTAGCAGCTCAGCAGACCCCCCAGGACACGTATGGTTGTTTCAAACAGATTCACGTCAACGTTTTTGTTGAAGGAAAGATCCTTCTCCACCCAGCTCCTGGCTTCTGCAAACTCTGTTTAAAAAAAAAAAAAAAGGATAAATTCTAACTCACATGGACACGTGAACAGATCTGTCACAGTTTCCTGACTCTGCAAACAAAAATCTCTTTGGGAATGAAGTCCAGTACCTTCCTTTAGTCCCATGATCCACATGGTGTCTAAAGAGTCGATCAGCGTCAGWCCGAGTCCGAACCACTCCCCGAAAGACTTGGAGATGGGCTTCAGCTCATCGTGACCCCAGGCGTGGTCCTTGTAGCCCTTCCAGGCGTGTCTGAAGGCGTCGCGCACCGCCTCCAGCCGGTCTGGAGTTCCTGCTGAAACGATGAGCAGACACAGGATTTTATTAAATCTAGTCTATTCATTTGAAGTTAAAAATCCTGTAAAACAACAAAATAAAAGCAGAATAGGCTTTTTCTCGTTTTTCCAGCTGTTCTGAGATAAAACTCTGACAGTCAGCATTTTTTAATCTGTGATGTAAAAACAGCAGCGTGATCATAAATGTAGTTAAATGTTTAATATCACCAGCTGGCAGCTCAAATTAATGTTTATTAAACATATTTTAGTAAGTAACACAAAAGCTGATCAAGGTTTTAAATATTTTTTTAGTTTGTCAGACGGTCACAGAACTGAAGTCTGGGGAAAAACGTAAAACAATTACAAATACTATTTTTATTTTGCAGGAGAGAGCCGTAAGAATTATCACTARAAGACATTACTGTCACCCATCAAACACATTATTTTATCAGTTGAAATTATTGAAGTTTTATGAGTTGGTTGATTATAATATTTTGCAGGTTATGTATAAGGCTCATAAAAACGTATTACCTTTGAACATCCAATCACATTTTGTTAAGAGGGAAAGTTGTTATAATTTGAAGGGATTAGAAATGTTTGTAAAACCTAAAATTTGAATAAATTTAAAGGACAGATGTACTTCAGTCTTTGTTTAGTTTAACCGGCAGCAGCTGGTTTATACGACTACAGACAGACAAACAAATGAACACATGATTGCCTGTATTTCTTGGTGAGTAAAGGGTTAATGCTGACCTTCCAGGTCTGTGGCTGCAGGGTTGCCAGGTGCTGCAGGGTTGCCAGGKGCTGCAGCTTCCTTCTCATTGGCTGAGGGCGGGGCGTCCGTGGCCTGGTCGGCTTCGATCATGGCTCCTCTCCAGCTGCCAGGGTAAAACGACTCGTTGGTTTTACGTGTCTCCGTCTCATCGATACAAACATCTACAGCCTCAGAGTGTTCGGTGCTGGAAGAGAAACGAGGAGCTCACCTGACAACTTTCTTCTCCTCCTCCTCGCCTCCTTCCTCTGGAACCAGCTGCTGTTTGGGGTTTTCTTCAGCTTTAGTGGCTGGAAGGTTTCCATCTTTACGCAGGCTGGGCGGGCCTCTTCTGTTTGAGAAAAKCTTTTTCTGCAGGTGGAAACAGAAGGTGAAGCGTGAACACCTGTGACACGAGTCTCTGAAAACACTCCAACGAGGCTAACCTTTGGTGGAGCTTTAGACAAAACAGGGACGTTTGGTCCTCTGGGCTCATCTGGACCCTCGGCTTGTCCCAGATCTGGTCCCACCACAGGAGCTGGAGGTTTACCTGCAGCTGGATTTTGGGCCACGGGAAAATTCAAGTTTCTGTCGTTGAGCTCCAACCAGTCCTCCTTATCAGACAGGCCTACAGGCAGGAGACAGGACAGTGATCTGGAGCTGCTTGTGTCAGTTTATGGTGAACGGGGGAACTGGTGTTCCAGCTGGGTTTGGGTCCTGGTGGTTCCTCAACATCTGAACCAGTTTTTTTTATCCGAGCGTTGGTCAATCCAATCTGCAAATCGTTTTATGCTAAAAGAGAAACTATAGTACAGAGTTCTGTGAAGCTCCAGAGCCTTCAGCAGCTCTTAGTAAAAGATTTAAATGAAAGGACAGATTTAGTCCGGCTCGTAGTTAAAGTTCAGTTAAAGAGACACAATAAATAAAAAAATAAAACACTGAAGTTGTTTAATTGTGTTAAGCTGCAAAAAGAATCGGTCAAACTAAAGAGTTAGCATAAATGCTTAAAGATTTTTACTGAAAGCTGCTGAAGAAGTTTAATAAAACTGTTAATGAGTTCAAATTAAACTCAAAAGTCAAAAAACACTGAAAAAATCACTAGAAATATAGAAAAACATCTAAACAACACAGAAATAAGCATCAAAACATCTGAAAGAAGCAAAAAAGTAGCTAAAATTAGCAAAAAGAAGCTAAAAGTAGTTGAAACAATTTGAAATCAGACAGGGAAATGAGAGTGAACAGCTAAAAAAGTAGCTGAAATTAGTAACTGAGAGCACATTTGCTGAATTAAGTAGTAAGAAGCTGAAAGTGAATTTAGCTGAAAGACTAAAAACACAAAAAACAGCTAAAGTTAGCAGAAAGCAGTGGAAAGAAGCATAAAAAGCTTAGATTAACAGAAAAATAGCAGAAAGTATCAGAATGAAGCTAAAGTCAACAAAATAAAGCTGAAATTAGCAGAAAGATGTTAAAAAAGCAAAAACTGTGTTCAGTAAAGATTTATAAACATTTTAAAGAGTTTAAAGGAAAACAGCTCCATTTATGAGAAAAAAATGCAGAAAAAAAGCTCAAAATCTCAAATAGTAAAAACAGCTGAAATTCCCGTGTCCTGAAGGAGCTGAATGTTTTCATAGAGAAATTGTTGAAATAACACAAAAATTGTATAATGAGTTACGTGGCCAACTAACTTGTGTAAGAAAAAACTGATTAAAAATGTGAATGTTTTATAAATATTCACACAATAAATGATTAAAACTCCTAAAATGATGACATTAACCGGAAACTTCTGATCACAACTTTACTAAAACTGTAGTTTAAAATCATGAGCATCAAAATATATTTCTACAACACGATTCAGTTGTTTTCAGGACAGAAGCAGATGGTTTCTGCTGAATAAAAACAGTTTTCTTTTCGTTTGGACTCATTAGAAATAAGTTAAATTATCCTCAGTGCAGATGGTTTGAATATATGAGCATAAAAACATCAAACTAAACAGAGATAGTTCAGATCAGTGCGTCTGGTTTTACCTCTCCACTGCTCAGCGATGCTGGAGTAGGACAGCAGAGCTAAGATCAGCAGCAGAGCCAGCAGGAAGAGGATGAGGCTCCGCTGCAGCCGAGGCAGGCGCTTCCATTTCTGCAGAGACGGAAACAAACAGCTGAAAGCAGCCGACAGCTAACAGACAGACAGCAGGACATCGTTACCCGGTGCAGCATCTCTGTTAAATTAATCCTCTCGCAGCTGAAGGAGGAACTCTCAGTTGAAAAAACTACGACAGATCCAGCAGGTTCTCKCTAACGAACAACAATCTGCTGAGTCAGCATTTTATTTTTTTGTGTTTCATCTTAAAACTTCATTTGGTCCAAAGCTAAACACTGGTTGGAGATGTCTAACCTCTGAAGCATGATGTGGGAAACTCATGTGAATAAATCTGTTAAAGTAGGCCTTTAACAGAAGTACAGAAGGTCTGTTTGTCTACGAACAGAACAAAGACCAGGATCTGCTTCCTGAGGGCGTGACGGGGATCAGATCCATGAGGTTTGTGTCGCTTGGTGTAACCCAGTCCACCCACAGAGAAAACCGACAAGCAGGAGGTTCACGTGACGAGAAGCTGCAGGACCAGTTCTGATCTTCAGGACTGAGGAAATCTGACTTTAGGCTGAATTATTTAATCTGAGCTTCTTCTGAGGCCGACTGTGAAAAAAGCTCGGAAACATTTTAAACAAGCTGTGATGGATTCTCTCCGTCTTCATGACTCCTCTGGGTCTGAGATGAATGGATCTGTGAGTCYTTGTTTCTTTTGATGTGGAGCAGCTCAGAGCTGTCAGATAAAACCTGACCTGAGTCCCACCAGTTCAACAAGATCTGAACTGATTGTTGTTCCTGCTTCACTTTGTCTGACTGGTTTCTCTTCACTCTGTTGTTCTCCTGCATGTTTTACAATCCAATTACTGCAGCATACTTTGGTTTATATTTAGCTGTTTACTGATSAAAACCTTCAGCTCGTTCAGGAGACGGCTGCTCTGATTTTTCTTTTTACAATTCCAGGATATTTGATTTAAGTTTATAAATTTATTTACCTATAAACACATCAGGATCTCTGAATTCTGCTTCAGGGTGATCTATTTTTTATTGTGCTACTATTAGCTTTTAGCTACCGTTCTGCTACTTTTAGACAGTCTTTAATGCCTTTTGCTATATTTTGCTAATCTACTAATATTTACCCAGTGTATTAGCTAAACTTTTGATCTTTTACCTATCATTTCAGCTACCATTTCACTGCTTTTGCTTTAATCCAGTGTTTTAAGCTTGTGTTCAGCTTTTTTTTTAGCTTTTATCTACTGCTTCACTTCTTTCGGAAAGCATTTTGTAATATTTTGCTAACCTGTTGTTACATTTACCTAAAAACTTAGCTCTTTTACATGGCTTTTAAGCTAAAATTTTCTACTTTTAATTAGCAAAGTCCCAATTATTGGCTATAGGCTAGTATATACTCTCTTTGTTTTTTTAGCTAGTGTTTTGCTCCTTTGAGCTTGTGTTCAGCGTTTTTAGCTTTTAGCTACTATTACACTTCTATTAGCAAGCCTTTTGTTATGTTTTGCTAGCCTATAGCCAGGGTTGCACATAACGTTTTGGTCTGGTTCTCAGGGGAGAACCCAGGGTTGTTACTTGGTACTCATATTTTCTTTCACTCATTGAACACATTTATCTAGAGGGGCKTCAGGTCATCTAACGTCCCCCTGTTCTGTTTTATGACTCCTATCAGCTGCAACATCTCAGGACATCATGTTAAATCAGTCCAACATGTTTTTATTTTATTCTTTTACTCTGCATAAATTTTGAAACGACCTAAGTGTCCGAGGGGCTGGGTGTCATATAAACATCACAAACTGAACATTTCATGGTTAAATGTCTTTTAGACTAACATGTCTCAGATGGACAGCTCCTGTTTGGTCTTCACTTCAGCCTTGGTTAAACCAGCTTTCCACTCTCCAGTCCAACCAGCAAATATCTGTCTTTTGCACAGAGCAAAATAACTTAAAATATAAAAATGTTTTATTTGTTAGACTGATTTCTTTTTTAAAAGACTATTTTATTCAAAAAGATACTATTTAGATGGTTTCAGCTCATGTAATCATTTATTCTTCATATTTGATCATTTAATAAATTACATTTATCCCAGAGCAGCTGTGTCACAGTATGGTCCTAAATATAAACAGGTTTAACACATCAAGAACCCTGTTTTTTTTTATAAAATTGTGAATGAAATTTGTGGATCTTTATGAAAAATTAAAACAACATTTAAAACTCATTCACCTAGAGAATATGGAAAGTTATTTTTATTTTTTTAATATATATAATTTTTTTGACTGGGAGTTACACAGAGAATCATCTTTGCTTTAATATGGGGCAAACAAATGTTCTGTTAGTTAATGTGGTTTAATTAGAAGAACTCAAACAGTGAATCTCACAGATTCAGCCTGCGCGAGCAGCGACACGCTCATACAGCAGTCTCTCAGGAGGAGAGTTTAGTCACACAGAGTTGGACAGATCTGTTCGATAACAACATTCTGAACATTTATTTCATATAAAGTTATGTTTTACAGACCAAAGTCTCTGGTAGTTCAGGAGCAAAGTGCAGGAGGAAATATCAGGACTGACCGCTGCAGCCGCTGCTTCAACCTGCAGTTTGTCTCTGCTGAAAACAGCTCTGACTCAAAGTCCCTCCCTGCTCTGCTCTGATTGGATAAAAACGCTCCGGACTCCATCTGACTTGTTGAAGGCAGTGTCTGTTTAATCCTTATATCAGGGTCCCACTGTCCKTAGAGGCTTGGTGAGAACTGAACAACAATCCAGTCGCACCAGTGTGGCTGGATATTCATTTTTTATTTTTTTAAGAAATCAGGTCGTGTTTGAGACCAAACTGGTTGCACTCTAGAGCCCTGCTGGCTGTTGTTGTGACAGACAGACAATCAGGTACAATCTCAGGTACGCAAGTGCGCTTTATGACGCTCCATCTGGTGCGCTTTTTTCTTTTTGGATCGCACACCTGCGCCCTGCCTATAGCTACTTTTATCTAAACCTTTAGCTAGACTTTAAGTTTAAATTAACATTTTGATACTTTTAGGTAGCTAGAATGTACTCCTTAAAGCCTTTTAGCTAGTGTTTTGAACCTTTAAGCTTGCGTTCAGCGTTTTACTGTTGTAGTCATGTACTATATTTTGCATTCAGTGCAGTCTGCTGGCTTCTTTAGATTTATTGTTTTTTTTTTTTGTGTACAGTGCCCTGAGACAACAGTTGTTGTGACTTGGCGCTATAAAAATAAACTGAATTGAATAAACTGAATTACATTTACCTAAACCTTTAKCTCCTTTACCTAGCCTTTAAGCTAGCATATTTAAAACTTTCAGCTAGCATATTACCAATTTAGGATTTTAGCAACAACTTTGACAATATTTGGCTGTTAGCTTTCAGTTAATACTTTTAGCTCTTTAGCTAGTGTTTTGATCTTTTTTGTAAGTGGTCTGTTTCTTTAGCTTTTAGCAACCCTTTTGCTACTTTTAGCTAGTATTCTACCAGTTTTGCTTTTAAGATAGTGTTCTGCTCTTTTAGCTTTCATAATGAGTTTAATGTTCAGGCTGCATTGTTGCTTTACCCAGAGTATTTGTCAGTTGTCAGTAATTTATTATTAAATGATGTGCTGCAGTAATGAGGTCAGAAATCTACAACTTAAAACAGGAAAATGTATCAAAACCAAACGTTAAAACAAGTTAACTGCGTCTTGTTTTACCCGCTCTATAAACAGAAAGACAGAAGTGGTTCAGATCTGGGACAAACTGGTCCTGACCCCCACAGATCCACTCACCCTCCAGCAGGACTGTCTCCGGTGTTTGGCGTTGTTGTAAGCGTGGCTGTGGGCATCGCCGAGGGTCAAAGCAATGAAGTCCTTCCTGGGAGGTGGAAACATCGTCTAAAGCTCAGGCGGGACGATCGTGGACCACAGAACCTGCAGTTAAAATGTGAAAACTTGTTTTAAAGAGAGAATACTTTTTAAAAAGACGTGTGAGGTTCACTAAACAATGTACCAAAAAAATACCCTGAATAATCCCAATTGAAATGTATAATCTATATAGTTTTTACAGCAAATTTTCTGCCCATATTTGAAAAAAAAAAAAAGCTTTTGAATGCTTTTCCAATATTATCTTTACCTGTGAAACTCCTAATRTTAGGCGGTATTTCTGTTTATTTATCCCCTTTTTTTTCATGACAGAAACAGATTAAATTTCTGGTACAAGAAGAACAAGTAATCAAACCTACACTTTATTACAAAATCAAATATAATCCAAATTTTTACATTTTTTACAAAGTGAATCGTGCATCATAACTGTTAGTTCTTTTAATTACTCCATAATTACACAAAAAGCTTAAAAGATTGACATCTGTTTTGTCAATGTTTTTACATGGACAGACAAAACGTTACCCTCTGAACAGGTGTTCATAAATAAACGCATTTTCATCACATTTTGGTAAAGATTTTGACTCCCAAGTGAAGCTAACTAACCGTTAAACTAACTAACAACGCACCTAAAGTGGTGTTTGGGTTTTATAGGTTGTTTAAATAAAAAGTTACAACAACAAAAAGTCAAATTAAGTGACAGCACATGCTAAGCTATAAGCTAAGCTATAAAAAAAAAAGGCTAACTGACAGAACCACCTCCTTTTCGTCCCTAAATATTCTAATAACTGATTTATGGGGAATATTTAGAGTCCAGTAAGTTGTAAAACCTCCAGCTGCGTCCTCCCCTCTCCTCTCCTCTCCGGCAGGCTGTCAGCCTCACGGGCAGCGAAAGCGTCTCTCCTCCTGGAAGCTAACAGCTGTTAGCATGAGAGGCTAACTCGCCTCTTCCGACTCGTTTTTCACATCGAAAAACGATCCGGTTCGACGGGCAGACAGATGAGGAGCGGTCGGTCCAGGTGCCACACGGAACAACCAGCTGCTACATGAAACAATAAACTGATTAAACGGTGAAAAAAAATAACTGCTAAAAGGAAATGAACTGAACCTGACAGGAAGAAAAAAAAAAGCTGAGTGACGTTACGAAGAGTCACGTGACGCTGACACGCGCGTGACCCCTATAAACTTTATGTAGAGCAACAATTATCAATTTTTATATTTTCAAGACATTGTTTTATCAAATTATTCAAATACTAACACTTTAAAGCAGTTGGCTTTAATTCAAAGCCATTTTTGTTCAATTTTTAACTCATTTATTACCTAAAATAAACTTAATTCATAATTTTTTTGATTTAAAGTTCCACAAACAAATTTAACTTTATGCTCATGTTAAATAGAAACTTGTAGTTAGCAAAATATGTGAGAAAAATGTCATCCTTTCACATTTTAGAGCCATTATAACGTGACAATATGAAATTATTAGTAATCTAAACCAGGGGCGCCCAAATATTTTCCCCRAGGGGGCCAAAATGAAAATCTATCCATGGCTGCGGGCCAAATGCAGTTATATAATACATGAAATACAAATACTTTTTAAAGTAAAGTCCTTTATTTTTAACGATTAAGCTGTGCAATGGTCCCCTTTAGTTTTGGTCTGTGCACTTGGAGAAAGTCTGCCATTCACTCAAGTAGCAAAGGCTCATGGGACATATCATAAATTGATAAAATATGAGTTTTTGTGGCCTCATAAAGTGTGCAAATCTACATGCGGGTTTGAATCTGATCTAAATATGTCTTGTCGTTTCATGTTTCATGTTTAATCCTAATAAATCAAAGATATGTCAGCACCATGAATGAAAACTACCTTCACTACAGCCCTTTTATATAGTCATTAGACCAATGGAAATACTGTGTTTCTACCTATAGGATCACAGGTTACAACCTTGTAACTTTGGCAACTGTTGGTGGGCCAAATCAAATGGCTTGGCGGGCCAAATTTGGCCCGCGGGCCCCACTTTGGGCTCCTCTGATCTAAACAGTTTCAATGAGCTGCAGTTTTATTTTCAAACTTTATAAAGTCAACCTCCACCAAATATCACTATTACCTAAAAAACAAGAGTAGTAAAGCAAAACAAGTCCAAGTAAGAAAGTAGAAACAATACTTTTAGTGTAATATCATCTGCATATTGACAAACATATTTTATTTCCAACATTTTACAAACAGGCCCAAAGAAAAAAAAGGAAGAAATTGGAACATTTTTAGAGCTGGTCTTGAAYGCAGGGAGTCTGAAGGTGTTTTTTGTCTTTAGGTGTTTTGTTATTTCATCGATCACAGAAAAGTGACGTCATCCGTTAAAGTTTACTGTCGATAAGGTCGGCTTAGACTGCGAAACAGAACAGCGTGCTGCGTTTACAGCAGGTGAAGTGCTAATGCTCGTCATACCTGAGATGTAAAATATACAAATATGAAACTGTAAAACAATAAAAAGTCTTGCATCGTATAAAAATGAGGAAAGTCCATAAAAACGTAGCACCAATAAAGATAGGGAATAAAACTTAAATACAAGTTTTGTTCAGCACCTTTTGGTAGAAGTGATGCATCCAGAACGCATCGTTATGAGGTCACTTTTATATACACACTGATCAGGATACAGAGTCTCTAAATAAACAGAAAAACATTTCATATAAAAGGTTAAATTATTTTGTCTCCGTAAACAAACATGGCGTCTCCGTAAAGAATCCACACGTCGAACTCACAGAGTCCCTTTAGCCCCCCTTCACCCAGGAGGAAAACAGGAAGTGAGATCTTCAAATTGTCCTCTCGGTGATCCAAACCAAAAGGTTTTTTTTCTCCTGGATTCATGAGTTCTTTGACGGCGCCGCTTCCTGCCGCTGCCGCCTTTAGCTGAAACACACGGGTCCAAATGTGAATCTGAACTGGTGCGTGAAGTTTTCTCCTCCCATCACCGCCACGTCCCTCAGAGGAAGCAGCAGCACGTCCTCGAACTCGAACACAGACTCCCGAGGACCGGGACCAGGACCGGGATCTGGATCCTCTCCAGGCTGATGTGCAGGAAAAATAAGAACATTTATTCACAGTTCAGCTTCAGTTTTACAATGTTTTATTAAAAAGTGACCCACCAAAGTGAGGATTAAGTCAAATTGGATTAAAATGACCTAATCACATTTTCAGATTCCTGCTTTAAATGCTTCATTTTGATACTTAAATCATCCTGATATCATAAATGTATCCAGAGATATGACTTAGATTGTCTTGTTGGTTATAATGATACATTAATATGTGAATCATTGTTTTATGCAATTTTAATGAGGAAATTTTGTTGTCATTATAAAGAGAAAATAAGTATTTGAATATTGAGATTTCCTAATTGGAAAGAAACAAAACTTTGCTAGTTCGCAGGGAAAAACTCAACATTTTTAAGTCATTTTTCCTCAAAATCAGTTTTTTTGTTGCTACTGCTCAAAAAAGTGCTTCAGATTTTTATTTTATGATTATTTTTCAGACAATTTAT